ATTCAGGACAAGTGAGTTCTAAAAACCGGACTTGGCTAAAAATTATGAATTCATTTATGTAGTCTGTCTAATGAGAGAATATCTGACAGAGTTGTCTGTCATTTTAAGTCACATTTAAATTACATTTACTGTCATTTTTTGGATGTCGTCTGACGGTTGTTTCCCTGACTCGTTGGAACAACCGACAGACTTGAAGTTGAAATAGTGTTAAATATACACTTTTGCCTTTGTGAGCAGTACTAAGATTTGTACTGCATATGTTACGAATTACGTTAGAACTGGATTATCCTTTTTAATGGAAGAGAAAACTTTAAGCATATCTTTAGTTACTACACATATACAGTTTGCATGATTGCATATACAGTTTGCATGGCATATGTCTAACGAATGAGAAAAATGTCAACAGGTGATATTCAAAAAATGACAATTTACTTGTGAATCATAATGCATTGATCCGCTTGTTGGGCAGATGATGACGATGGGATTGATATTTTATGATATATTCATAAGACGCACGTAACGTTGATTGAAAGAATTGGGAAGATACGCAACCTAATGGGCCAATTCGTGACAAGGCTAATTTGATTTCTCTTCACGTCTCAAGTGCTGTACGGTAGAGACACTAATCCTTCTGCGGTCAACCCAACACTTATTTTCGCTAATTCGGCCAGCGAAGGCATATCGAAGACGGTGTGGAACTGAAAGCGACATTGTTGGCATATTAAAATGTGTAATATCCGTAATACATTTGACGAAAATATCTTTGGATGAAAAATCCGCCTTTATGTACTGAAAATGTATTCGTGTTAAACAGAGAATAAACTACAAAAATAAAAATTCTTTTATAGGTACTGAATATATCGTATGATCGAAAAAAGTCGTTTAGTTTGCTTGGAAATGACGAATATTGACATTTATCATACTATTTTACATATGAGATAACAGTGATCTTCATTCCTAAGCCAACTCTGACGCCGTTCTTTGTCTAATCATATATTATATTAAATTGTTTATTGATAGAAAATCCGCATTATCAACGTACTGTACCCAAAATCCGCAAATCTACGGATTTATCAGTAATTCTGGCAACATTGTCTCCAGAAACCACTCACTCTGTTGACTGAAAGCAGAACTACTGTACAGTATTCTTTATCCGCTGCTCTGTAAATGACTTAGCAACTCATCAGCGCGCAGGGGCGCAGAGCTAAACTAAAGCAGATTTTGTGCCACGAAATCGCCAATAAGGGGTTGCGCATCTTATTTCTTCAATCAACGCACGTAATCATAACTAAAAAAAGACGAAATAATTCACATCCAGGAGCGCACAGAAAACGAAATAGAAAAGATCAGATAGAGATGGATACTTTCGAACACTGACAGTAGATGTGTGTGATTAAAATATTCAACAAGTTAAATTATTTTACGATTAGATTTCCTGGACATTTTTTGAAACTCCAGCCTTTAAAAACCCCAGACACTTTAAAAACCCGTACATATCAGAGTAAATCCGAAGTATGTAACACTAAGTCGAACGACCCTTAGAACGTTGTCACTAAAGTTCAATTTTCTTGAGCGAGCCGTTTGTTGAAATATGTCGATATTGTTATTTTAGGTTACCCCCTTGTAACAAAATAAATTTGTGGGGGAACGTCACATCAAAAATTTTAATATGAAAAACATCCCATATTTTTTAACCAGGATTTTCACATGATTTTTTGCTTTTACATATTCATTTTCACTCTCAATAAGTCTATCCAACAAGAGGATTATACAGACATTATGTATTTTCTGTCATTTTTTGGATGTCTTCTGTTGAAATCTTCCCCGACTTGTTAGACAGACTGGTTTTTATTTTCCATAATGGAATAGTTTGTATGAAATCTAACCAAATAAAAATATTTTTGTGTACTCCTGTATCGCAATAAATCGCAACAATTTAGGTACCTTAGCGACTTGTTTGTTAGCTGTGACATCAGTATTTTGGCAGCGATACGGTGCGGCGTCCTGTTTATGTTAATCGTTTATTTTTAACTCTGTGTGAGAATATTTTTATATAAAAACCAGGTGTAGTGCGACATGCTCTAAATATCCAGCACCGAAACTGAATCGGTTTTATTGGAATACCTACTTGAAAGTCTTAAAAATAGTTTTTGTCCAATGTCGTTTTCAGATTTGTTTTGATATCAGTCTATAATCCTGTAGTCTATAAATGTTTATGACTTTTCTTCAGATTATGCGATTTCTATACAGGATGTCCCAGAAATAAGTGCGTATTTTAATGGATGGTACATCTCGATAAAAGAAACATATTTTCTCTTTATCCTTTTTCAAATAAGTCCAAAATAACAGAGTTATTTTACTATGAAAATTTTCAAAAAATAATTATTTTTTGCTACTTATAATTTTGAGAACCACTGGATCTTTTCTGGATTTTCTCTCTTGTAAATTAAAACCTATGTTGCCATATTATCAAGAAATTATGATTTTTAACTAAAACTAAAAAAAATCCAAAAACATTTTCAAAAAATTTAATATATTCAATTTTTTTTTCGCGAAAAAAAAACCTCATAGGCGTGTTTTTGGGGTTGAACTATACTACCAGTTAAAATACTTGCACTTATTTCTGGGACACCCTGTATATTAGCTTTCTATGTAGATTTTACATTCTTTCTTTTTCATTACTTAATCAAATATTCATCATCATCATTCTCAGCTTATTCAACCATTTCCAGTTATGGTGTAACCTCGCTCACATATTTAGATACTCTCTTTGTAGTTGGGCCCATTGTTGTCGATTGTTGGCTATGTGAGCCCAAGCTATCTATCCCTACTAATTTCCTAATGTCATCGTCCCATCTCAGGTTTGGTTTTCTTCTAGGTCTCTTAATTCCTCGTGGGTACATTTGCTGTAATTTTTGTGGTCCATCTGTTGTCCGTCCTTCTTGCCAGGGGTCCTGCCCATTGCCACTTGAGGAATTTGATTCTGTAGATGACATCTATTACCTGGGTCCTTTGTCGTGTCTACTCAATTCTTTCAATCTCAATTCAATATTGCGTTTACATTACTATAGGACAGTAGGACACAGTATAGGATACACATTATAGTGTAGGACACAGAGTAGTATTACATATTACGAAAGAATAATAATCATTTTATCAAGATACGGATACAAAAAATACTGTTAATAGTAAAATTACTATAACAGTTCAGTAGAATACAAATACAAAGCCATTTATATCAGTTTATAAGTTCAAACTAATCGTGATAAACCTAGAAATTTGGAATAACAATAGGACGAAAATAGACAAATTAGAATTATCAGCTGTTATTATTACTTATTGATAACATTCGTGCTGCAACCAAACCAGACCTAAGCGCCAATATGGCGAGCAGCATGGATGGCATAAGGGCATTTTTGGATCTGCACTCGCCGAAGCTTATTCTCTCTCTACCTCTTGTTTTAATAAATGTTTCCCCGTCTTTGAACAATAGCACGATCGAATTTTTTAGGTGTATCTGGACCGTTGCCCTAATTCATTATAGTTTGATGGTTTTAAGAGGGCTGGGTTTTTTGTACCTAGTAAGGTCTCGCGTTTAAGTTACAGTCTGAAATATTTTTTTTTGGTACAAGCTCAAAAAGCGTTACCGTTTGATATACTTCCTTTCTTTCTGTTTCTCTAATTTTTTAGTTTAGATTAGATTACTTGTATAATAAGAATACGAAAATTTAAGGATGGTAATGTTTAAAAAAACGAAATTAAATGTCTTACTGTATACTTTTCATCGGTACAATTAATATTTTGCTCAAGTTATGACGGGTTTCCGGTAATGTTATTCACCCTTTCAAATGCTTACTAAAAATAAACTAATAATTGAAAATGATTCATAAACTAAACGTGAATACACTGTAAAATATATCATTAATAAATCACACATTTTTTACATTTTAGCAGATTTCCTTTGATAAAAAATATTGAGTATTATTTACATTATTAACCATGTAAAATATGGGGCGTTTTTGCAATTAAATATGGCGGCTTTTTATTAAGTTTTTATTAAAAACTAATGACGTTTTTAGGATTACAAAAGAAAAAAGTTATATTTTTCTAACTCTAAATATACTTGTTCTAGATTCAAGCCAGTATTCTAAATAATAATAACATAGGTACACAAAAATAAAAAATATCTTGATTTTCAACCAAACAAAACAAATTTCGAAAATGGAAACAGCTTTAGAAACTCATGTTTCTCTATAAATATTGTATTTATAATAAAGTAGTAAATTTAAAAAAATGTTCTAGCACATATAACATGAAAGTAAAAAGCATAACCACAAATTAGAAGACATGATAGGAAAATATAATTTACCTTTGAATTGAAATGACACGACTGCCACTGTCATGTATTCATGGCATCATCAGTCACGGCAAAGTACTGTCATCTCACTAGACACCCTTTGAACCAGTCGTATAGACGAAAGATAGATGAGAATAAAAACGAGTGAATTTTGAACTAGACAATTATTTGGTATATTTACACTATATCAGTTTTTTTTGTTATTAATTTTAACAGTTTTAACAATTAATTATTGATTAACAAAGTCAATCAAAATTTATATACAGGATCGGTCTTAAATATGTGCAAATATTTTCAGGGCTGGTAGATCTCCCTATAAGAAACATAATTTCTCTTTGCCGTTTTTCAAATAAGTTCAAAATAACGGAGATATTTTATTTTGAAAATTAAAAAAAAATTGTTCAAATTTTGAGAACCACTAGATCTTTTCTGGTTTTTCTTTCTTGCAAATGTTGCCATATTATGTTTTTAACTATAAATTTAAAAAAAAATCCATAAATTTACTTTAATTTTAAAAGACGTGTCTCTGAAGTCGAAATGTACTACTCTTAAAAATATTTGCACTTATTTAAGACTTACCCTGTATAACATAAAATGATCTACCAATTAATAAAATCATTTTCGTTTCATGCGGGGTATATAGATGACACTACATGTTTGCGACCATGATTTAACCGCCTTGTACTTGAATATGGAAATATGCAGAAGACGTCGAATATTATTAGAAGCACGCGAACGAGATGCTTCCTTGGCCATTCGACCAAAGAGCCACAAGCGAATTTCTGGCACCGGACAGCGAAGCAAATCCAATCGTTTTCATTATCATTCCACTTTGCGCCGTCTTCATATAACTTTCCATACCATATCTACTCTTCGGCCGGCTAAAATACTTTGTTCAAACAACCGCATCCGCATATTTCGTCTTGTCTCCACAAGATTATCGGACCAACACAAAGCGATCCGCCAGCAAAAGCTTATTACAGAAGCCGATCCGAGGAACTATGGTTATTATCGGCAACACGCGTTATATTTTTATTTCGTCTCTTTCGCAATTATTTTAGTATTCCTTCTGAAGCTAGTCAGATAACGATGTATAAATAGTTTGTTAGGTCGGGCGTGCAGTCGATACGTCTAGCTTGAAGATAACAAAAGTGTTACGCCAAGAATGCGCAAGAGGAACTGCCGACTGAAAACCTGTCGTTCCAGGTATTTTCGGCAGGTCAAACAGTTTTTGCTCCATTTTTTAAAGGTCTGTATTTTTTATATTCATATCAAGCAATACTGAACCGGTTTAGGATTAATTCAAAGCGCATGTACGGTTATAATTAGTTTAGAATTTTGTTATCCGATAAAGTTTATTTAAACTAATATTATTGTTACAGATTCCGTGGGTTCTTAATTTAAACACACAATTGAAACACTTAAACCAATTTATTACATGACTAAACTACACTGTCCTTCTTAATTAATTATATCAAAACAATAATACACTACCGATTAAATATCGGTTTCTACCACTTTTGTGGGATTCCCTGCGCCTTCGCTGTTTATTAGTGATTCAAAACTACTTATTCTCGCATTGCCCGCTGCTTATATACCCATAGATCTCTCAGTCTTCATCATCATCACTAAATTTCTCTTATAGTTCTGCCGTAGTTTGGCTTAGTAGAATTTTTTTGCTGTTCGTGTTGGGCGTTTCTTATTTTATTGTGAGATGTCGCTAGCGGCCCGTGACAGTATATTATCGTTGATTGAAGGAATTGGGAAGCTACGTAACCTATGGGGCGATTTAATTTCTTCTTACGTCTCAAGTGCTGTACGGTGGAGCCTCTACTCATTCTGCGACCAACGCATAAAACACTCATTTTCTCTAAATTCTGCTAGCGAAGGTATACCGAAGACGGTGTGGAACTGAAAGCGACAGTGTTGCCATATTAAAATGTGTAATATCTGTAATACGTTTGACGGAAATATCTTTGATTGAAAAAATTTGGATGAAGAACTCTGACGCCGTTTATTGTTTAATCTTAAATACTATATTAAATTGTTTAATTATAGAAAATCTGTATTACTAACGTACTGTACCTAAAATCCGATAATCTACGGATTAATCCGTAGTTCTGGCAACACTATCTCCGGCAACCACTCACTCTGTCGACTGAAAGCAGAACTACGGTACAATATTCTTTTTCCGTTGCGTTGTAAACAACTCATGTGATCAGCGCGCAGCGGCGCAGAGCTAAACTAAATCTCGGACATATAACGGTAACACCAGCTACATCTCAGCCATATTTTGTGTTACGAAATAGCTCATAAGGTTGCGCATCTTCTTATTTCTTCAATCAACGATATTACATAATGAGGAGGGAAACGTTTCATTATTGTCGGAACATCTCTAGATACTATTTTATTTACAACCACATCATTAACCAAGAAGTGTATATTTTAATTTTAAAATGAAAAATATGGTAGATATGCCAATGTTAGTTTATGTAATAATAATAATAAATGACTTTTATATATTCTTTTGCTTCGATGTTTTGGGGGAACCCTCAAACCCAGTACCCAGTACTAACTACATAACTTTTGTCAGTGTTGAATTTCTTATTTATCCTTAGAAATTGTGTAACAAAAAGAGCCAAAATATTGTCGGAAAGTGATGACAGCGATGACTATTTTAACACTAGTGTCTTGTAAGAATCTGCATAAAAAGAAGAAACAAGAGAAATAAGAGAAGATGCTTGAGGGAAATGGGTGATTAGAGATGAGTAAGTCCGGATGGATACGAATTCACGGGAGATCGGGGAAGTTAGCAACTCATTGAAAGCAGGAATTATAAAATACAATCCTGCTTCAAATCCCAAACCAGCCACACCTACCAATTTTGAGCTATAGTTACTTTTATTTTTGTTGCTAACTTCCCAGTTGGCAACACATGAGAAGCAGGATCGCCAAAACTGGTTCCTGCTTGCGCTGCTATACCCCTGTTGCATCCTGCTCTAAATTTCATCCCAGCAACACTTGCTGTTTTTAAGATACAGCAAGTTTAAGTCTGATTGGTGACGTCACACATAGCAACACAATAAGAGCAGGATGGCTGAAACAAGTTCCTGCTTTGCTGCTATAATCCTGCCTCATCCTGCTTCAAACCCTATACCAGCCACTCTTGCCGTTTTTGAAATACGGGAATTGGAGAATTGGAGTTTTCGAATCATGTAACCTGTAAAAGATCAAATATAAAATGCTTCTAAATAGTAAATTCTAAAGTAGTATTCTCTTCTAAAGTAAATTACGCAAGAATACTCATGGGCTCATTGGGGATGTGAACTGAAAAAAAACATTAAACAAATATCTATGAAAAATGAAATTTTTATTAAACAAAAAACTAAAAAAACTATAAATCACGAAAGATGACCATCATGTGACAATTTTACTGTTTATCAAAAACAATCGATACCGCCAATTCAAATGTGTTAGACAGAGACAAAAACTAACAATCCAAAAACAGCGGGAAATACATACATACATTGCAAATTAAATAATAGCTTTTAAAAACATTTTTAAAAACAAGCTTTTATTTAAATGCTCTAAAAAGCATAAAATAATTTAAAATAGTAAAAGTGACATCAACTTATAATCTCATTACTCAATTTATATGACATAAAAGCTTGTTGCTGACTTGTCCGCTAGGGCAGGGAAAGAAACGTAAAAAACAAAAGTTTAAGGATAGATTGATCATCAAAAATACTTGTTTCTTTAAAAAAAACACACAAAATAACACAAATCACACTTGTGAGAACTATAAATTCAAATTCATAGTAGAAAACTTGAAAATTTGAGGTTAGGAACACTGAACCTGTCTTATTTTGTTCAGCTGTTCGGAATAATTATTTATGGCTTGGAAGCTTATACATATTTTAGGCAAATAAAGCAAAAAAATAGCAGCCTAAGCTGAAACTTATCAAGTTAAAAAATCATTCCTAATCTTAATGTGCGACTGATTACCAGAAATCGATTCGTTCTATTTTAAAAACGACAAGAGTGGCTGGTATGGGGTTTGAAGCAGGGTAAGGCAGGATTATAGCAGCCAAAGCAGGAACTTGTTCCAGCCATCCTGCTTTTATTGTGTTTGCGTTACCAATCAGACTTAAACTTGCTGTATCTTAAAAACAGCAAATGTTGCTGGGATGAAATTTAGAGCAGGATGCAACAGGGGTATAGCAGCGCAAGCAGGAACCAGTTTTGGCGATCCTGCTTCTCATGTGTGGCCAACTGGGAAGTTAGCAACTAAAATAAAAGTAACTATAGCTCAAAATTGGTAGGTGTGGCTGGCTTGGGATTTGAAGCAGGATTGTAGCAGCCCAAGCAGGATCGTATTTTATAATTCCTGCTTTCAATAAGTTTCTAACTTCCCCGACCTATTCACGGACTTCTCTCTGGTGCCGGTACTGATGGATGTACTGATACTGAATATCGACCTCTATCCGCGGAACTGCATTGCTGAGAGTTAACTGGCCACGTCATCGGCAGATAATGAAAACATAACGATGCAGCGAAATAAATCAGTATTGGATAGTATTAGAATAAAGAGGGAATGAATTGTAACTGCTGCTGAGTCGTATTTACTGTTTTTTTTAAGTTTACTTTCGCAGAACCGTATCTGTATTCGATGTCCAAATAATAACGCATACAATAATAATATATTTTTGTGTCTTAACATGATATTTGATAATATTAAATTTGTTTTCTCTTTAAAAATCAGTCTTTTGATATCGCTTTTTTTTACTTACCCAGTATAATTGACAATAAAGCTCCTTAAAATAGTAATTATCGACAATCTGCCAACTGTGTCAGAAGACGAGTATTTTCTAGCACCATCTACTTTTCTTTTAATCGTTTTAATCACTTGAACTTTTGCTGAAAACTTTCTTGATTTTTAGTTTTTTGCTGTGTAGATTTGTAGATGACCTACTATTATTAAATTAATATGTATTTCATATATTATGTGGTGTTAATACGATGTCCATTCATAAGTGGTAACTGTACTTTCATTTACACTTTAACATTCAGTTTATAATGAAGATTTTATTAAAAGCGTTTATTAGTTGAAGACTCCGGTGCAAAAAGGGGGTAGCTCCATTTTTTTACGAATTTCACTTTTATATAGCAAAATAGGAACAAGAAGTCACTCCATCGACTGGTACAAGAACGAGGCAGCTCCATTGATTCGTTTAGATGTTATATGGGATGAACTTATATACCCTTTAAAGGTTCGGTGCAAAAAGGAGGCAGCTCCAGAGCTACCTCGTTTTTGCATCGAATTAGTTTATTGTTTTCCCGCTTCGATGCAGCACCAGTATTTCACATTGCGATCGGCAACCGTTAGACAGTGACACTTAGTTTACCTAGTTGTTATTATTCTGTAAAATTAAGACGTCTTGTGCGTTCTAGATACTCAGTAATAGAACGTCTGCCAGTTTTTTTTACTAGTAGCCAATAGTCAGTTTGGTGTTTAAAGAGTTTTACTATATTAAAATAACTTTCGTGTTGTTTGAAGTATATAACGGTTTGTAAAACATGTCAAGCAGTGACAGTCCGAATGAACAGTTTGATGATTCAGACCAGGATTCTGATTTTAATCCGGATGACCCTGGACCGAGTGTCAGGCGTTTTTCTGTGTTTGATTCAAGTGCTAAGGTATCAGCGTTGATCGAAAGTGATTCGGAAAGTGATAAAGTTCCAATGACTGAGCAAGAAACTCAAAATAAAACTCAAAAACTTTGCAAAAAACGTGTCAGAGATGAAAGTAAATGGAAAAGAAACGTGTCCAAGAAACTGAGAGCGGAAGGAAAGCCATATTTGGGTGTGAAAAACAAGAATAAATGTGCCAAAGAAGAAAGAAAAACTGGTAGAGACTGCAGTTGCAAATTTAAATGCTTCCAAAAATTTGACGATTCTGGTAAGCTCGAAATTTTAAGAATATTTAACGAAATTGGAACTAAAGAAAAGCAGGATATTTTTATTGGAGGGCAAATAAGGGTAAAAAAAGTTGAAAGACAGAGACCAAAGTCCGGTGGGGGGCAAAACGATCTTGTTCTTGTGTGTACACTATAAAAATTGGCACAGCTGAACAAAGAGTATGCAAAAAAGGTTTTTGCTCGCTTTATGGTATAAGTAAAAAACGAGTAGAGCTGATTGTTAGCCTTTACAAGATAATATTCCTGCTCCTAGAGATATGCGTGGTAAGCATGTCAATCGCCCTAATAGGATTCCTGAGAACATAATACATCAAATTGATTCACACATCCAGTCTTTTCCAAAGAGAACATCGCATTATAGTCGCACTAAAAATGAAAATAAATATTATTTGAATCCAGAACTGAATATGAAGAAAATGCACACACTGTACCTCAAAAAATATGAACCCGATATCCATGCTGCAATCGAAAATGGTCAACAAGAAAAACCTCAAGTTACCTATGACTATTTTTGTCGACACTTTGTCACAAACTATAACTACTCTTTTGGAAAACCACGTTCTGATACATGTCAAACGTGTGATAGATTAGACAATCTCATCTCAGCAGAAAAGAATGAGGAAGTAAAGAAAAATCTGAAAGTTGAGAAAGAGGTGCATCAGAAAAAAGCTAACTACTTCTATACACAGTTAAGAAAAGATATCGCCGAGGTCAAGATGAGTAACAACCAAACCGAGTTATTAGCATTTGACTATCAACAAAATATGCCTGTTCCCCATGTATCCAGTGGTGACGTATTTTTCAAACGCCAGCTTTGGGAATATAATTTTTGTGTTTTTCTAGGTAGCACTGGAAAATCCTACTTTTTCATGTACGATGAAACAGTCGCAAAAAAAGGACAAAACGACGTTGTCAGCTTTCTCCATTACTTTATTGATCATTACGTGCCAACAACTATAACAAAATTATTCATGTACTCTGATAACTGTTCTTCGCAGAACAAGAATCAAACCTTGGCTCACTATTTTTCTACCATTGCCATAAATAAAAGGTTTTCCAGAATAATACACCGATATCCAGAACCAGGTCATAGTTTTCTTCCTTGCGACCGCAGTTTTGGATTAATAGAAAAAGAGAAGAGAAAGAGAGAACGGATTGTATTACCAGAAGAATGGGTTGCTCTGGTAAAAAATACGTGTCGAAAATTTGAAATAGTTCCAGTTACCCAAGAAACCATTTTAAACTTCAGTGATCACTTCAATAAACTTTTTAAAAAGTCTGTTATTAACAACCGGAAACAAAAATTTTCAATCTCTTCTTACCGCGTTATCGAATACTCAGAGAAGGGTGTTGAATGCAGCAGCTCTGCTAGTGTCTCCTACAAAGATGAGTTCACTCTTCAGAAACCTGGGGTAACTCCGACACTACCCTGTCCCGAATCTCGGTTATACTCTGGTCCCTTACCGCTCAAGCAGGCTAAGTATCTGCAAGTGAAAGAACTAGCTGCGAAGTACGTCCCAGCAGATTGCATGTGGTTTTACAATGGACTTAGATGCCAAGGGGAAGAGCAGCCTAACCAGTCAGAAGACAGTTTTACAGATAACTGATTATTGTTGTATGTATTTACTATTACTAAGTATTACTTTTGGAACACTTTTTGTAATAAAAATACTTAAAAAAGCATTGTTTTGAAATTAATTAACGCTTTAGATTTCGTAAATATAATTTAACTTACCATCCGGTGCAAAAAGGGGACAACTCCCCATTTTTTTTCTAATTTTAGTATCTTACTGAAAGGCTTTTCATTTTTCGATATTCATATTACTTATTCATTGTCAGCTAAACTACAACCTCCTTTTTGCACAGAAACAAAAAAATCACAATTTTTCAATTAAAATAGTTTTTACTGTCTCCTGAAAAATTCATTAAAATGGAGCTACCCCCTTTTTGCACCGGAGTCTTCAGTTATAATTAATAAGTAAGCCTATTTCGATTATAAATTAAAAGCACATATGACACAGGGAAAATTTTGTTCGTTTCTATCTTGGCAGATGGAATGTACTTAGAATACTTTCAATCGTTTTTGAAAACGCTTTTGTTTATTATGTCTACATTTCTTCAACTATTCCACACTCTACGATTTTACAGCTTGAATCACCTGTGTTAAATTAGAAAAGTAATTATACTCGTTGTCGAGTGGGACGTTTACAAAAGCCCATTTCGAAAAAATCTGGGTTTAAGTGTACTTTGATTTTGACTTTTTAGTCTGCAGTAAAAACTTTTCGTAATTTATACATCGACACTTGATTGGTCAATGTTTTTAAAATTGTTGACCGAATTTAGAGATTTTTTTATGTTATTTATTTCCTCCCTGATGAGGCTTCCTCATATCATGATGAGGCTTCCTCAGTCCTCAATATCAGTCCTGGACTTATGAAAAGTGTTTAGATTGTTGTGCATAAAGGCCGCCGTCTTGAATTTTCTCTTAAACCAGTGCTGCTCTCTATTAGTTATTTTGGTTTACGACTTGATACATTTTTGTGGTGCTTCTCGACTTCTATTGGTAAGCATCTTTTGGTCCCTTCGACAGAATATACGCCCACATACGAATTTTATAAATGATTTAGTAAAGGGTATGCATGAGGAGCAATGCAATTTCTTCGTGGACTGGTCAGTGAAAGTCAATCCAAGAAAATATTTTATTTCATAATTTACCATTGTCTACCGGTATCAGGTCAATATCTATAGTCTGTCCAACGAGAAAATTATTGACAATGACAGTTATTGTCTCTCATTTTAATTCACTGGTACGTTGGATACTCTGTCATTTTTTGGAAGTCGTCCGTCGTAATCTTCCCTGCCTCATTGAGAGCATGTATATGTTGACAACGGAATTAGTATTATAACTTTATATTCAAGATTATTTTTTGATGATTGGAAGTCAAGTCTTTAATTTGAATGTAAGAGAATGTATCAATGATTAAGTTTGATACATTTAGTGTTTATTAACTTTTGTTCTTCCGTTTATATTATTAAAGATTACTAAGAGCATTTCTAAATGTTTACTTGTTTTCGAAAATTCTGATGGCGCTCTTCGTGCGTCATATTTTCTAAAAACTGCGTTGCCGCATGTCACACGTTATTCCCAATCCGTTCTCTCTCCCCTTCCCTCGCCGTCCACCTAAATTTACGTAACGGCACCTCGGCGTTTAGTCCGAGCGAAGCGTCGCGACGGTGCGCGTCCACCGCTTTTCGTGCGATGGTATTTTTAGTTTGGACGAGCAAGCACGGGACTAAGGGAATGCCAAATGTACTCTTCGGGCTTATCTTACAGTCGGTATCGGCCGACTTACCACAACGACGATGGTGATCGTTATACCCATCACACGAGTTCGAGTAGTTCGAAACCCACCACGGATTACTCGTGGTTGGGCCCGAGTAGTTACAGACCCACTACCACAACGAAAAGTTACCAAACTGGTGCGAGCAAACGACCAACGGAAGCGCCCTCGAGGCTGACTAGTACTACTTCAAGTACTAGCTCGGATTCAGTGACTAGAAGGCCGCGATATACGCGATCGTCTACTCATAGTGTAGCTCAATTACTAAGCGATTCTTGTTCGAGCTTGTTGCAAAAAATTACGACCAAAGTCCGAGGTCCTTCTGCGACGGTTGAAAGGCAGTTGCAGAACAACTCTAGCATCGGCAGTAACAGTATTTCGAGCAGCAATCTCAGTTTCCATCACCCTAACCCTTTGACTACCAGTAAAAGTAGTACTGTAGTTCCTAATTATGGCGCCAACAAAACTCGTGCCGATGACAAATACGTGTCCGTTTTGGATCGAATTTACGGAAGAAGAAAAGATTCGGATCGAAAGACCGAATCTTCGGTGGGCCGAGCTTTATCCAAGAGCAGCACCACGGCGAATGTATTCCAGTTGAGTGAGAAAGCGTACCCTTACGTGAACAGTAACGGAAGTAGTAGTGTAGTGAGCCGCGAAAAGACTCCCTTCCGTAACGAACCGAAAGTCCATCCCACCATCTATCCGGAACCGGCCTATTCCTACCTCGACCGAGATTCGGTTTATCGGCTGAGACACCGGTCCAATCATTCCGAATTGCGACCTAGACGGTCCTCTAAACCTCACAGGATAGGAAAGAGCGAATATAACGATCGAAAATCATCTACTACAACGAATCTGAAGTTGTGCGCAGTCGAAATCCCTTTAGCCAGCGATGTTGTGGTACCTTCCGAGCCGTCAAAAACGTCCGTTGAGGACGATGACGCGACACCAACTCCGGCCGTTCCCGATCCCGCGGCGGATCGCGAAGCCAAAAGGAAAGAGATCCAGAGCCTGATCATGAAATACTCGGCCTTGGACGAGGCCTACAATAAGGCGAGCGCCGTGACCGCCTCCGCCGCCGCCCCCGAACCCCCCAGCGTGGCGGCGGCCATCGCCAAGAAGTACTACCCCAAAACGACGGCGTTGGCGGCTGTAAGTAAGGCTGGCCGCGCGCACAACCCCCAAAACATAAATTATAAGGTTACGCGTGGCCTGTTCACTAACCAACTCGGAGTGCAGCTGATGCTTGTTCACAGGAAGATTTTTAACCTAAACGTATCGTTAAGTCGCAAGTTGTGTAAGTCACCCCTCTTGGTGTCCGCTTCATATTAATGTCTCATATAGCGTAGGCTGCTCACGCTGGCTGTTTGCGTCCTTTCACATGGCTCGTATTATGCCCTCTACTAGATCTCCTTTTATAGTTAAACTACTACATTCCGATAGCATCTATTCCAAGAGTATACTGTGTGAAAATTATTTACCGAAGTATTAGTACATATTCTCATTTCTTCTCCATTTTTAAATTATTTTCCTTAGTTTATCTGGGGAAAGATATTTGATTTTTCCAGTTTAATACATTTCTGACAATAATTCTCTAATAAAGCTTGGTTTTTAGGCCATACAGTTGGTGTTTTTTGACATGAGAAATTTGATTTTGATGTCAATATGACTCCTACTAGTAGAGGGCGCCACCTACATGTCTTTTAACTGTTTTGAAGCGTAATAACTTTTTGTCCGTACCTGTATAAAAATACCGAGCGAAAAAATATACATCTCTGTGATTTTTTACGTCAAAAATATCTCTTTGTAAAAATCGCTACGAGCAACCGTTCTTAAGATATTTAGAATGGAAATAGTCAATACATGTCATTATTGACGAAAAATAAACACGTTGAGTAGATTGAAATGAGTAGAGTGAAATTTTTATTTTTTTAAGTTAATCATAAATTTTTCTGCAAAAAATAATGATAAAACAGTTTCTGTTGAACTTTTGGCACAAAAACATTTTAAATTTATGAGTTCAGTCTAATAACTATTTAGTCAACATGTTTGATTTATGTCGATGAGAGGTATTGATAATTGCTATTCCAAATATCTCGAAAACCATTACTCGTAGCGATTTTTACCAAGAGACCTTTTTCACGTAAAAAACGTCGTAAATTTATATTTTTTTACTGACTAGTTATATACAGGTACGGACGAAAAGTTATTACTCTTCAAACCAGTTAAAAAATATGTAGGTGGCGTCCTCTACAAGTAGGAGTCATATTGGCATCAAAATCAAATTTCTCATGCCAAAAAACTTCTAGATACTAATTTTCATCCAAATATTGACGTTACTTCAGAAATTATTTGGAAAAAATCAAAATAAAAATGAAACTTCTACACCCTGTATCTCCGAAACTAAGCATTTTAGGACATACATTTATACGAACTTTTTTACTTATTTTTATCTGCTGAATAGGCTGCCGAGTTTCCGGAATACAGTTCTAACCACCCTGTATGTTTTATTAACAAGAAAGGACATAATATGATACATTTTTAAAAACCGAAGAAAAAATGTGAAATGTGTTGAAACTGGTGACATCTAAGTTGTGCTAAATAAAAAAAATCTAGTTTGTACAACATTTTTGGTAATACCAAAGAATATTAGAGTTTATAATTATCTTTGGTAATACGCTTAAAACATGACTTAAAAACTACAATTTATATTTTAATGAATGTTCTATTTTCAAAAATAAAGAAAGTATAGCCTGTCAAAAGTGAGACAAAATTATGTCAATAATTTTTATCGTGACTATAGAGAGCGATAAATTTATGTTTGAAAATAAAATTGTTGTGAAAAATATATTAAAAGTAAGTGAAAGAACCAACTGCTGCTGTTATTAAAAATAAGGAAGCTTATATTAAGAGAATAATTAATAATTTGTTTTGAAAACCGAAAATTGGAAAAATCATTTTAAGTGATAAACAAGGTAGTCTTAATTACTATTTTGGTGGTATTAATAAAGATAAATTTGATAGAAAATTTATTTAATTCCTCCACTTAGTGTACACATTTTATCGAATTTATAAACAAGTAAATAAAAACACGAATTACCTTAAGATTGTTCATGTGCTGGTCTGATCTAATATGATCCAGTTTCTTATCGCTCTTTATGTCGTCCTTCCTACTGGAAGGAATACTATAATTTCTACTTTTTTCAATCAAAACAATACATTTTTTTATTTGTACTTGTAAAATATTTTATTTTACATTGAAATCATATTAACCCTGACAACTTTTTTCTACATTTTCAATTTTTTGATTGAAAAATTTGTACAAAAAAGAACACATATCTTGCTGGAAAGTGCTTTTACATATATTAAATCAAAATTATTCCGTTAAAACAAATTATTAAATATTGAAAATGCATTTCTATCTATTTCTCCGTATTGGCCTGAAAGTCAGGATGACGTTTAAAAACATTTTTGTTTTGGATAACACTGTATTAATGAATAACAAACAAAATCATTTAACTACTATTATTGTCACTATAAATTTCCTTTGTTGTTACAGAAAAATGAATAAAGGGTCATTTGCATTTTAAGATCAGTCTGGCACCTCATATCAGATTAGGAAGTAATTTACTTTCAAATAATTTATACATAATAAAAACGACAGTTTCTCTATATAAACCAAAAGAATTTTGTAATAGAATGTTGAATCAACAAATAACTATAAATAAAATTTTATTAGTGTTATTATTAGCCTTATCTCTTAATATTTATTTATAGGAATGCTTCTGCGTCAGAAATACTAATGCAATAAAGCAATCAATTAACTGGTAGTGGCAATGCAATCCATGTGAAAGGACTTTTAACAATTTACCTCAAAAAAGATACTACATACAAGACACTTAAAATTATTTAATGTACTAGGTCACTGTGTCCGGGTGGATCAATTTTATAGGAAACAGAATAATTATTTCACTAAATTAAATGAGAAAGAAATATTAAAGTACGTGTGGTATCAAACACTCTGTATAATAAAAATGATGCTTCAATTTCCGCAATTAGCATAATATAACCGTATTACTTCATGGTCGCAAGTTCGTGTTCTTCCATTGATCTAAAATTCCGAATTGATTTTTGATTGAAACTGGATCAAGTGCGCTCATTACAGGAAATTTGCATTTAAGAACTTTAGAAATAAGTAAAAATAACTGTTTTATCGGCTACGGAGATACCGGCAATGCGAATATTTAATTACGTAGATAATATGAGTCGTTAAAATGGCCGACTTCTTGGTATATCTATTAAGGCAACAGATGGTTTAGCTAGATTACAAAAACATTTTTTGTCGGAAATATATAATTATTGCAAAGGTGTTAATTGTAAATGTATGTAATATCTCTACAGTAGAAATAATTCGTTTTCAACAGCAAAATCATGTTACCTCTGAAACAGGCACCTCAAAACTTCAAACTGATTTGTTTTTTAAAATGTTATTGGATTTCAAATCCATGAGTACCTACAAATTTCTCGACGGCTCATACTTGTATGGTAAAGCAAAGAATATTTTAGTACTCTACTATCCTATATATAATAATTTTGTTAATTAAAATTATAACATTCTTTGGGTAAAGTATAGTTAGATTTTATTATTTTTTCCTTACTCGCTTCCGATGACAGGGGCGATACATACGGTAATCCAGGGGCGGACACAGGAATTTATTTTAAGGGGGGGGCCAAAATAAAAAGAAATGTAGAATATGCTTTTTAGGGCGCCATTTTTAACCCAAAAGCCTAATATTTTACACAATTTACATATTTTAGGGGGGGCCCATGCCCCCCCCCCCCTCTGTATCCGCCCCTGCGGTAATCGCAAAACAATTTCCGATGCACGTGATCAACTTTGAGTGACAAGCGATGGCGACAGCGCTGCCAGATTGTGATGAATTTATGGGATGAATCTTAATGTAAAATTGGGAAACAATATATTCTTTATCATTTTTTAAAGATTTTTACGTTTTATTTTTAATTTAATAATTAATATTTTAATAATTAATTGATATATTTGATTTCTAGCTTATTTTACTTAATAGCCCATAATAACAGGGCTATTTATTTATTTATTTATTGATGTACAATTTACAACACCACTAGTGGCAATAGCAAATTAGAGAGTGACATTAATGCACAAACTAATAGTCACAGAATTTACAAAAAACTAACGTAGAAATAACTTTGAAAGTAGTATAATGTGCTTACCCATCAAACTTATTCCCTGACTGCAGTCAAGGGTAACATAGCACCTTTATTGCCACGTTCTCTTTCAAAATAGTTTATCTGGGAAGCTAGAAGCCCTTTGCTTCGACTGTTTAAATGTTTCGATATATTTTCAACACACAATTTCAAGAAATGCAATACAAAAACTCGAAAATTTATTTCTTAAAAGAACTGTTTGTGCTTAAAAGTACAATTTAAAAAAAGAACATTATGAAAATAGGCAAAAAAAAACGAGAATTACTCACAAAAATTCTACAACAACAGGATATTATACAAAATAATGACTGACGTTATGATAATTGTCAAATAATAAACGACCACGTTGCTGAACACGGCCGCAATGTGACCAACACGGCGATAACAAAATTCGGTTTGAACTAATTTTTGCAGCTTTAATCCAAATAATGTATCTGTTATAATCTTGTTGCTCTATAAAGTAAAATAATGAGCTGCTCGGTATAAATTATACAACAAATTGAAACATTTTCGCCAAAATTTCATTTAGTCAGGTTTATAGGCTTTATTAGTGTCAATTTCGATATGATTGATGACGTGCATCGGAAAATATTTTGTGATTAACGTATTTTTGTAATTTCCGTCAGTTAAATGAATTGTTTTGTGGTGGAATTGCCTTCGAATTTATAACATCTCCCAAATACAGAGTGAGTCTTAAATAAGTGCAAATATTTTAGGAGTGGTATATTTCGACCCCAAAGACACGTCTATATATCTTCGCAAAAACAAGATGCTGGACTCTCAAGAGAAGACAATTGGATCTCTCTTCATTCTATGACAGCTACAGCCAATATTCTACGACATTCAAACAATTTAATTTTTGAAATAGATAGCCACATGTGTTCCCTTTATGTCACAGTGGCTGT